AGATTTACCACCAAATTATGAACAGAGTTTATCTGAAAAACCTACATCATCATCATCATCAAATTGGAATCAGGAATCAGGACCTTGGTTTCATTATTTTGAAATAACAATAATATCAAATCCTAACAAACGAGATTCAACTATAGCTATTGGAGTAACCACTAAACCATATCCCAGTGAGCTTTATTTTAACAATTCATTATTATCATCATTGTATTTAAATATTTTCTAAACCGTCATATTATTTCCTATCTTGTAGGCTTTAGGTATTTAAAAAAAAACCGAATTCTTGAAATTCACTATGTTTATAAGAATCATTCAGAGTATTTATTTATTATACATCATTTTTCTTTTTTTTTTTTGTGATATAATAGATTACCAGGGTGGAATAAACATTCTGCTGGATATCATTCAGATGATGGTCATAAATTCAATAATGATGGTCTTGGAGGACGAAGTTATGGCGAAAGATGGGGTGATGTTGGTGACATAATTGGTAAATAGATTTAAAATTATATATCTACATTCAAATTTAGGATTTTATTTTTTATCGCCATAGCGATGTATCGCCCCCACCCTGAGACTTAGTTGTTGCGCCGTGTGATGTCGGGGTTTCAATATTCAAACTCCGCCTGTGATTAGTAATCTATAGCTTACTAATCATAGGCGGAGTTTGAATATTGAAACCCCGACATCGCGTGACGCGACATTTAAGGTTTGGGATTGATTTTCGGAATTTTGATTTTCGGGATTTTGAGATATATCGCTATAGCGATAAATTATAAAACCCTTTAATTGATATTTAATTTATTTTACTTTATTTTACTTTATTTACTTTATAACAATAGATATTAAATATTCATAATTAAATAATTTATTTTTTATTTCGTAGGATGTGGTTATTACCCTGATACAGGCATTGTATTCTTTACAAAAAATGGTGAATTTCAAGGTAATGCATTTTCAGGACTAAAACATATCTGGTTTCCAACCGTTGGAGCTGATAATAAATGTAAAGTTGAAGTTAACTTTGGTGACGGAGAAAAAGAATTTCGATTTGTAGAAGCTAGAGGAATGTGCGTTTCAGGACCAAGAATCTAGCCTCTTAATGGTTAGCTATTTTTTATATACCGTGAAAGATCATATACAAGACCTGAGTCTGTTACATTCCACAATCTATAATAAACCAGGGGTATAGTACACAACAGAGCGCGGGCGTTTTATATTGTAATAAGAAAATTTTAAAGTACATATACGCTTTGATTAATAAAGTTATATGTGGGTCTACTATCCAAAGGGACTCTATATGATCTTTTTGCGGTAGCCATTTTTTTATATGTATATGTATATATGCATTTGCTTCTTTTTTTAAAATTTCCGTAATTAAAAGTGGAGACGCAATTTGCTCGTCAGCTTTATTGATTAATCTTTTTTTTTTTTTATGAGTTTAATATTGCATACCTAGTTAAAATTTTGAAACGCTTATTATCAATTCATTATAATACTCCAATCATTTAGTATTCAATAATTTTAGTACTCAATCGTTTTTTAGTAATTTTATTATTCAATTATTTTATTATTTAATTTATAGGTTAAAATTTCCCCACATCCATTAATAAATTTCAGATACACACATGGATAACCGAACATCTATTGAGTTTTTTTTAACATATTCGGACTTAGTTTAATACCATTCATTCGAATGGTTTATAGCTAGTAATCATATTTATGCAAAACATATTGTCATGTTTCGTCAATCGTTATAATATTACGTTTACATGCAGATGTATTTAATCATATGCGCATATATATATTAATAATTGTATTTATTATAATAAAGTTTTTAACCAAGTATTATAATTAAATTTATGATGTCAAAGTTTTAAACAAGTAATTGAACTTGTGATGTCAAAGTTTTAAACAATTATTCACTGATGTTACTCCAATCTTATGCAATACTTAGTTATGCAAATGCAATTAATACATCCGTGTTTAGGTGTGATCAGAGATGTGCTTTCGCGCAAATTGATTACATCATTTTTACAAGGTAAGCTTGATAAATAAAATCACGCGATATATGAGATACATGCTAGGCTTATTTCGCGCGAGGCAAATTTCTACAAATTCTCAACCGTAGTTGAATATTACCATAATGAACAAAAATGGTAATTATACATTATCAAGACAGGTCGTTCATCGAGGCGGATTTGCGGAATTTGACCTTTATTTAAGTCACCAAATTTAATTAGATCTAAATTTTTAGGGTTCTTTATATCAAATAAGGAACTACGTTTATAAGGTATTTAAAAAAGGTCAAATTCCACCAATTTGCCGCGTAAACACTGACGCGCATATATGAAGATTAGAAAACATCTATTTTATTTTTTCCATTTTCTTTGCATTTATTGATCGAATTAAACTCATCGTTATCATAATTTTTATAACTTATGAAATGGAAATTCTTTGATATTTGAGAAGATAAAGAAATTACTGTAAATCCGCGAAATAACGCACATCTGCACGTTATTTTGAACACCTGTGCGTTATTTTTGTCCAGTCTGGTCCGGTTTTTATTGATTTATGTTTAAAAGGATTTAAATAATTTAAACATGTTCAGAATGGTCCAGACTGGTCCAGTCTTAAGACTGAGAATGAGAAAAGACCGATTTTTTTCCAGTTTCATACTGGTCTTAAGTGCTTATGTGCTACGTATGTAAGATGCGCACGATTTCGAGACGCGCATGAGCGTTATTTTGAAACTAGGTATACTATTTTAGAGGATACGATTTTTGAAATAACGCCCATGATCGTTATTTTCGCGGATTTACGGTAATCACATTCGACAATAATCCTGATGTTCAATTTTAACTTAAGAATCCATTAAAATTTCTCCACTTTTTGTGGGTATATACTTGCTATCCCAAATCTCAAATTATTATAGTTTGGATTTGTTCACTCCCAAATCTCAAACTCTTGCTAAACTAATATCTCAAAAACTTTATTAATAATCTTTATTTAAACAAATGATATAATATTTTTGGGCAATTGCTTTTTTTTGAGTTTGGATTTGTCCGGTTTTGCCAGCAAGTATACATAAGTAACGGTTATTTTCCTTAACAGTTGGTTTTGCATAATTTTTTATTTATAATAACATTAGGCCTTGAATTAAATATATATTTTGCAAAATTAGAGTAGATTGATCATAAGCTTTTAAATGTTCAGCCTTAAAGTTTACAAACAAAAAAATTGCTATGACTTAAACGAAAAAGATATTATATATTTTTGAAAAAACTATATTTATTGCAGTAAAACACCCTATAAATTAAATTGATTGTTCCTATTGATGTCTCCATATAACAACCGATAATCAAGTTCTAGGACAATCAACATCCTCGATAACATCCCACATTTCCCTAATTAACCTTAATTGACTCTGTTTAGAATCTTCATCGCCATCGCAAGGTGATCCACCTCTAATTGCTAAATATTTGCGACCAAAAATGTCAACCGGTCCTTCATCGTACCCTTGAGCATTTACCATCATACCACCCGATTCATTAAGAATTACGAGAGCTGCTGCCACATCCCTTTATAAAACAACAATTAGACAATTACATCATAAACTTTTTGATATGATATGATATTAAAATACAAACCATTCCCAACATCCAAATTCAAAAAAAATGTCAGCACGCCCCTGAGCAACTTGACAAGTATTCAAGGCAGCACTACCAACACTCCTAATACCCCTAACTAAACCAGCTTTTTTAGATGACCAAGAAACAGCACCAGGCTTACGCAGCAAATTATGAACAGAATTTATTTTTTTACTAATGGTATTGTTGGATCGATCACTGCCATACTCTGTAACCACTAAGCACTTATCAAGAGAAGATGGTAGCTGAAGGGGAGGGTTTGGATATGAGAGCGGAAGTCTAGTCGTCTGGTTTAGAAATGCGCCATGACCTTTTCGAGCTGAATATAACTTTAATGGATAGATTTTTTAAAAAAAATTTTTGATTTTAGGAGGCATGAATTAAACGTTACATTGAGGGAAAAAAGCGTTTGATATGAATTAATTTACTTCGTTAAGGATTGGATTAAACACTACGCCGACAACCGGTTCCTTATTTATTGTTAACCCGATAGAGACCGCCACGAATGGAAATCCATGAACAAAATTTGTCGTTCCATCTGAAACAATAAAATTTTATATTTATTTATAAGTAAATAATTATTCAACAGGAAGAGTGAAATAATCTTCACCTATTGGATCAACAATCCATGTTGGATCATCTGTGAATTCATATTTATATCCAGCAGCTTTTGTCTCTTCACCGATAAACCTTGAATTAAAATGAATTTAAAAAGAATATCTAGCTACCTCTTCATCTTTTATAATAAAAACTAACTTATGCTCTGGAAAACATTCTTTCAACTTTGATTTAATCAATTCTTCTATCATTTGATCAGTTTCGGTTACTAAGTCTGTCTTATTGTCATATTTCGAGAGAACTTTACTGTTTGTAGAATATCTTGCATTTGATGCATCAAGAATTATTTGCCCGCACTGCTTGGCTAATTTTATGGCGAATTCCAGATAATATTCTGAGAATATGAATAATTCAATAAATTAGAATAACTTGATCAAATTATTCTACTAGTACAGTATGCATTGATTACCCGTGGAATCCATTCTTTTTTCTTGAGCAATTTTGTTGGAGCAAAAAGATAAACGAAGAAAAATTGTCGAATGCGATTATCAGATCGCCTTTATACTGTAAATGCACCAGTAGACAAGATTTATTATAGCACATGAAACCTTTATACGTACGTACGTATAAATAAATATGTATGTATATCTCAAATTCAAAAATAAGCTTTTTAGTAAATATATATAAATATATATAAATACGTAATATATATAATTTTTTTCCAT